GGGCGCTCGCGTCTTCTATTTTTAGCCTGGCTCAGCAAATACCAGAGGCCAAACCACCGAGGAAGTTCAGGTGCGTGGTTTAGAGAGATGTGGGAGGTCCCGTGCCTGGTTTTAGAGATGAGGGAGCAAATGTAAACTAGCGCAAAAGATGAGGGAGCAAAAGTAGACTTTTTCCAAAGCAGAACCCTTTCCGTCTCCAAAAGAGCTAAGGTTCAAACACTGGCCACTTTATCGCTTTCGTGGGCTTAAATTGATTGTGGCCCAGTAGAAATAGATATTATTTCACCATACGATTTGGAGCCCATAGCAACAGGCCCATTTGTTGGTTTCGTGAGGAAAGCTCCTTCAGAGTTCAGAGCCAGCTGGACCAGACAAGACCATTGCCGGCACATTGCCCTTCGCGGCTTCACTCATCAGTGCAAGCTGCTTGCAACACAGAGAGGGCCCGTGGAAATGGTGCGAAGCTTCCTTGCTCCCGCGGCCGCTCGTTTTTGCACCGTAGTGCACCCAAATCTAAAATAGCACTATATCTATATACTCCAACGAAGTACCTATATAAAAGACTTATTTTAGATGTTAGGAGACATATAACCTAAATCTGAGTATTCTCTCTCCTGAAAACTTATTTACAGAAAGGATTGTCTTTTGGGTATCGAGGAAGACAAAAAAAAAAGGTATTAAATCCTTTCTCTGTAGCGCTACCTAGATGACGAATTGATCTTATATTTTAAGTCGCGGTTGTTGGAAACAGTCTAAGGCCTTGTTTAGTTCATCCCACTAAAGTTTACTCCATATCTCATCGAATGTTTGGACACATATATAGACTAAAAAAATAACTAATTACACAGTTTGCGACTAATTTGCCAGACGAATCTTTTAAGCCTAATTAATTCATGATTTGACAATATGGTGCTACAATAACACATATGCTAATGACGGACACTACTACAAAAAAGGTTGTAGTAACGCCTCATTTTTTTGTAGGGGCGTTTGGACGTGATCGGGACCCACGAGACCAGCCGTCCCTACAAATGGTACAGTAGAGGCGCCTGGTGATACGAGCCGCCCCTATAAATGGGTCGATTTATAGGGACGGTTCACTCACCAGCCGCCCCCGGTGTTGTGATTTGTAGGTGCGGCTTAATCATCAGCCAGCCCTACAAATGCATTTGGCCCACTCTCAAATTCATAGACCCAATTAAGGTTGTAGATAATCTCGTCCATCCATCTTGATCCAACGGCTTTCGCATCGCCCCTATTTTCGCGCGACCGCAACCGCGGTTTCGGCTAAACCGCTGGGCCCTGTCTATCCTCGTTTGTCCCCTGCCGCCTTCCCTCTGAGACCGAGCATGCGCGCGAATTGGAAATTCGCCGGCCCCGCCGCTTTGCACCTGCACTCAACCTACCCAGTGAGACCGACGAAAGGGCCCCACTACCAGATGGCGCTCAGGCACTGGCCAGTCAACCTTCAGGAGGTCCCCCACAGCCGCTTGACCCAGCGCGGTCCCAATTTTCCCGCGCGCGACGGCGCGTTTGGGGAGGATTGGCACTGGTTGCTGACCGAACCTGCTGCACCGGCCCCACCCCATCTCGTTTCGCGTGCATGGTATGGAAAACAACCGGCGCCACGCCCCTGGTTTGGCCAATCCGCCGTCGCGTGGCGTGCGGCCAGTGGCCATCTCCCTTACCGCCACACGCACGGACACAGAGACGGCAATCACACCTGCTTCCACTCTGATCCCATGCGAATTGGGAGATCAGCCCCGCGCCGCCCGTTGTGGACGCACGCGTGGCAAACTCGAGTGGCCGCCAGCCTCCACCAGCGAATCGCTGACGTGGAAGAGCACACGGATCGATCCTAGCCTTGGCACATTTGTGCTTCTTCACGGTGCATGACATCTCGGCCCCACACGACGTCAGCACGCACACTGGACCGCCGTACGCACCCACCCTTCCTTTTCCCAGCTCCGCTCCAGCCCTAGCCTACGCCGCCACTGGCCACAACTCCCCAGTGCCTAGGCCTCAGCTCCCGCCGCCACCGGTGATGACTACCGTGGGGAAGCGAATCGAGCTCACAGCTGGAGAGAAAAGCTCGAGGGCCACACACCTCATTTCTCTCCTCCTCCTCCTCCCATTCACGCGCTAAGAAACTACGGCGGCTGGGCGTCTCGTGCGAGTCGGCGCCTCTGCACTAGCTCGACAACCGGGCCCATGGGGGAGGGGGGAGCACGATAGGGACTGCAGCGGCCGGATCTTGCGCGCCCTCATGCGTGGCCAAGGCGACGACGACTGGATCTATGGCGGCGAGGTCCTGGCAGCAGTGGGCCCGTGCCTCTACGCCAGCTCGGGCGGCAACCGGGCACACGACGCGCGTTCCCTTGCCTGCTCGTTGATGGCCGTGGGCGCGGTGGCCTCTGCAGTTTCGGGGGCACGACGGCAATGGATGACGAGATCCCCTTCCTCCTCTCGATGAGATCAGGTGGTAGCGACTCATCTCCACTGTCGGTTCGAATCTTATTATCAGTTGTCTAGATTTGGTGCGTTTTTGTGAGATATGGAACATCTCGGCTTATAGTCTATTATGTTGTTTACGAAAGCATGTTCTACAGTTTGCTTGCTCATTCTCTTTGTGCTGAGAGCAGGAGATGATCTTGTGTCTCAGATTTGCAGGTCAGGCAGCAACTATTCCAGCAATAGCAGTTCGCCCTACAGGAAGAGTTCAACATTGTTAGTCAGCAAGATTAGTCGAGCTCTCTCTGCATGCCAGAGTTTACAACATTAACCACAGCTCAGCTCTGCCTTATTCTTTTGTTTCTTGCAATAAATGCATTCCGTTTTTTTGCGGCTAGCTGTAGTCGTAGTATCTATTTGGGGAACATATCTAGTGCAAACCAACCTCTCCGTGCAAACCAACTGCGGGGGAGAGGTGGGAGGGGGGATTTGCAAAAGTGTAATTACGCCCGCTCCTAATTACACTTTTGCAAATCCCCCCTCCCACCTCTCCCCCGCAGTTGGTTTGCACGGTTTGCACGGAGCGGTTGGTTTGCACTTGATACATTGCCATCTGTTTGTGCTTGTGGTCAGATTTGAATTATATATATTCTGGTTAGGTCAGATTTGAATATATATATATATATGCAATGTTCTGGTCGAATTTAAATTGTCAATATGACTTTTTTTGCGAAAAAATGTATTGTAGGGGAGGTTCTAGACTGAACCGCCTCTACAAACAGGTATTATAGGGGCAGCTGGTATTAACACCAGCCACCTCTACAAAATTGATTTGTAGGGGTGGCTGATAACACCAGCCGCCTCTACAAATCGATTTGTAAGGACGGTCTAAAAACCGTCCCTACAAATACATGATTTGTAGAGACGGCTTGGTAGGGGCGGCTAGCTAAACCGTTGCTACAAATGGTTTTAAGCTGCCCCTAAAAATGCTTTGTGGCGTAGTGGGATTAATTAGGCTTAATAAATTTGTCTCACGGATTCTGTAATTTATTTTTTTATTAGTATTCGAACACCTCATACAATACCTCCACGTGACACCCGATATGAGATCACAATTTTATACACTGAATTTAAACATGGCCTAGCAACCTGAGTCTCAAGAGGGAGATCGCAACACGGCCGGCTAGGTCACGTCAACTCTGAGCAAAAAGGTGGTGGAGCCTAAGGTCTCGTTCGCGTGTCCTTAAATCCGACTTGATCCGCTTCTTTTTTTATCCGGAACAGTGTTTTTCTTATACAAATTCCTCCAGCATTCCTTCAAACCATCTAAATTCCTCCAGAATTCCTTCAAACGAACAGACCCTAAAACGGACATGCACTAGGGCTTGCATTGTTTGGTTAGACGGTCAAAATCGGACGCCTAACATACACAACGGATTTTGCTTTCAGTTCATCGAATCAGATTCAGATGAGACGAGTGGAACCGGAACCAATAGTATCCAGCTGCAATGCAAGCGAAACGACGACCTAACTACTACTACGCTCCGAGATGGTGATGAACAAAAGAGGCGAGGAACGGGTCTCCACTGGCCACTGCAGCTAGGAACGCGCTTGAAGAAAATGAGACGACAGCGACGACGACGGCCCAGACCAAAACGTACGCCCACCGATCACGATCGCCGTTCTGCTCCTGCAGTGGCGCTGGAAAGCGCCAGGTTTGACTTATAAGTATAGCTAAAAGTACTATTGATTTGGTGTGAGAGAAAAATACTGTTCGTTGACTGATAAGCCATAACTTATAAGCCAAATACGACCAAGCAAACAGGCTGCAGATTTCCATTCGCAGTCCCCCGGGCCACCTCTCACCAGCCAGTACACGTAACTACCTGGACTTAATTGGTGTTTGATTTCTCCTCCTAAACTTTAGTCGTTGGACACATGCATGGAGCATTAAATAGACACATGCATAGAGCATTAAATATAGACTAATTACGAAACTAATTACACAGCTTGCGACTAATTTACGAGACGAATCTTTTAAATCTAATTAGCCTATGATTGGATAATGTAGTGCTACAGTAACATATGTTAATGACGAATGAATTAGACTTAATAAATTCATTTTGTAAAGTATTTTTTTATTAGTATTTGAACACTGATACCTCGGATAACGTCACGTAAAATTTAGTCACCGATCCTAACACCCCCTTAGCTTCGCTGCACGCCCGCGCGCCCGCGACGACAGCCGCTACAAAACCCGCACGGGCAAGTGTGTGTGTGGCGCGGACCCGTCTCTACCGGAGACCACCCCGCTGGTCACGCACGCCGTCTCGCTCGTCGCGCCGCGCCACCCAACCGTCCGCTTGACTCTTCGCCTCCGCGCGCGTGTCCTGTCGTGGCGCGGAGCAAAGCAAGCAGTTCAGGTGTCTTGTGTTCGGCCGCCTCTGCTTGTTTGCTTCCCCGGCCTCGCGCGCAGAGCAGCCGAGTGCCCTGCCACCATCCCGCAGTCCCGCGGACCTGCTTGTCCGCGCGTCAGTTGTTAGGTGGCCATGCCGGCCGCGGCGCGGTCGTGGACGTGGACCTGCGGGTGCTGCGTGGGGAGGAGGAGGGGGAACAGCGGCGGGGCTGCGGGCGCCTCGGGGCGCGCCGAGGAGGGGGACGAGTGGAGCCTCTTCATCGACCTGCCCGTGCTCGAGGCCGCCACCGGCGGCTTCTCCGACGACAACCTCCTCGGCCGCGGCGGCTTCGGCCCCGTCTACAAGGCAACCTCACACTTCTCTCCTCTCTCTTCTCTGTTCCCTCCCTTCACACATGACACATCACTTCTGCTTTTTACGTGATTTATTTATTATTTATTTTCTCGCTCGATTATATTTATTGCTTCAGAAGACTATACTGTACTGGTGTAGGTTTTCTTAAAGCCCAATTGTCCGGCTGGCCAACCTGTTTATCTTGTGTACCTTGATTATTTAATACTGTGTGTAATAATTGATTAAGTAAAAGATTTGATCCGAAAATTTCATTTTCTTCGCTCTCTGCTTCTGTCAGAAGTTTTTATTACCTGCTTCTGCTTGGGCAGACGGCTGCATTTTCAGAAACTGAGTAGCGTAATAACTCGATGAAGATGTAGATTTACTTCCGCCTCTGTTTTTCCTCTTCTGATGAACAAGATGGGCACACTTGCAACGTTCTATCTTCGTTTTGTCATACTACAAGTACAAACGGTGTACTAGCCAATTTTCACATGAATGCAAAGATATTTCGTTGACCCCGAATGCGTCAACGCTTCTGCACTGCCACGGATCAGGTTCAGCGCATGTGCTACTGCTATTGTCCTAGTGCGTATCTTCTTTATTGAAATTGGCTTGTTCAACAACGCCCAACTGTAGCCTGTTCAGAAAACACTACGTTTTGACCTTGAAAGTGCTATGCATTCAGCATTTCAGTTTCTTTACATATACATACTGGTACTGCATCTTTCCAGAAGAACATAACTCATGGTGTCAACCCTGTCTAGGAAAGACTGAAACTCCTTGTACTCGATCCTTTCAGGGGGTGATGGAGAACGGGCAGCAGATCGCTGTGAAGAAGCTGTCGATGGGGTCACGGCAAGGCGTGCGCGAGTTCCTGAACGAGGTCCGGCTCCTGCTCAAGGTGCAGCACCGCAACCTGGTGTCTCTGCTTGGCTGCTGTGCTTCCTCCGGTCATTTCCTGCTCGTCTATCCCTACTTCCCCAATGGCAGCCTCGACCACATTCTCTTCGGTGAGAGCTGCTCTGCCTATTTTGTGTCTGTTCTGAATTTGTTGCCATTATGCTATTTAATTTCTGATTATGTGTGGATAATAAGCATTTAATTCTCAGTTTGATTGTTTTTTTACTGCATGTTTGTAAAACACATCTCAGTAACATAGTTTCTTTCAGTTTATATCTTCGGAGTTCCGAACAACAAATAGGGAATGGGGATCAGTTTATAATACAAGGCAGCAACTTTTTTTTTTAACGAAAGGCAGCAATTTCTTATAGAGATACAGGGAACACGCCGCCACACCCCCCCCCCTCTTTTTTCTCTCTCTCCCCTGTCCAGTATTTTAATGGTGGTAGGTGACAGGTACTAGTATGTTTTGTGACAATTCAAATGCAATGAGTGCCCGGTTCGCTTGGCTGATAAGTCATAACTGAAAGTACTGTTGGCTGATTTGTTGTGAGAGAAAAATACTATTCGTTGGCTGAAAAAGTATGGCTTATAAGCCAGTGGTGTATTCAGTCTGTAAGAAGTCTTTCAAGTGAGTCAGCTCTGAAGTTTATATAGCAGCTGTTTCCAAGTACTAGTAATCTTTTGACCTTAACCGCATCAAAGCTATTTGATTGATTTCTTAATCTCGAAGGCTCAACACATCACATCACATTAGTTTTGACGTAAATGTTCCTTTCATTGACTATTTCTTTGATTAGGACTTCTTGTCACCAGAAGCATTCATGTGAACAAATCAAATAAAACTAAATTTTATGACAAATACATATAGAAGAGAGAAATGGAAATACTAGACAGGTGCACTATTACCTTACTGAAATCCTCAATCCTTGAAGGACAAGAATTAGTTGCTTGGCATGATGTAGTACGTACTGTTGTGGCATTTCTAATGGTCACAGGTGCCGAGTGTCGTCTACCTTTGTGTCGGTGTTAACAAACAGAACTGCCTACAGGTTTTACCCAGCTACCTATTGGAGCATTGCACTACACAACTAGGGATGTGCTTGCGTGGCTTCTGTAACTAAAATCAAAATGATGCAAGTCCTTGTAAACATCCTCGCGGGCCGCTTGAGGGCTGGGGAACTCCCCCCCGGTGAAATTAAAAAAAAAAACTATTGGAGCTTTTGTACAAACTTCAGCTTGGACATAACTACACTGATCTTTGAAAAGTTTGTGTATTAGAAATGCATAGTGCATAAGGATGAGACAGAAAATCAGTTCGTTCTCTAACATGGGCATTACGTTCCGATCCTTGGACTACTTCATTAGACAGGAAGAAGTGTGCCCAACTAGATTGGCCGAAACGGTACCATATAATCATCGGATTGGCAAGAGGGCTCCTGTACCTTCACGAAGAATCTCCGGTAAAGATCATCCACCGAGACATCAAGGCGAGCAACGTGCTCCTCGACGACCAGCTGAACCCAAAGATTTCAGATTTCGGCATGGCGAGGCTCTTCCTGGAGGACGCCACGCACGTGAACACATTCAGAATCTCCGGCACATAGTGAGTTCAGACGGTTCTGTTTACGTCTCGCCTTGTATCCACAGCCTGTGCCCGTGCAAATGCCGTATGGTGATGTATTGCAGTGGTTACATGGCTCCAGAGTACGCATTGAACGGCTACTTGTCCACGAAGACTGACGTCTTTAGCTTCGGGATCCTGGTGCTGGAGATAGTGAGCGGACGGAAGAACATCGTTCGACACTCGGACGACGAAAAGATCGACCTCTTGAACTATGTAAGTGCTCATATCTCCTCGTCAGAAAGAGAAATTCTCTGAATAAAAGTTTGACGAGTAGCTAGTAGTATAAATCGACAACAGTCTGATGTGCTGAATCTTCTGAAACTTTTATTCAGACATGGAAGCTGTTCGAAGAAGGACGGTCCCTGGAGATCGTGGACCCGTCTCTGTCCAAGTCCAACCCCGACAGCGAGCAGGCGCTGCTGTGCATCCAGCTCGGCCTGCTGTGCTGCCAGGCCGTGGTGCCGGACCGGCCCGACATGCACAGCGTGCACCTGATGCTGTCGAGCGACTCGTTCACGCTGCCCAAGCCCGGGAAGCCGGCGATCCATGGCAGGACCGGCCGGTGGATGACAACGACGACGGCTTCAGGATCGGCGTCGGCGTCGGGCGCCTCCAACACGAACACCACCAGCGGCGGCAGCACGTTCGGCACCGACACGAACACCACCAGGGCCTCTGTGCTGGCCAATATCGCCGAGGACGAGTCCCGGAACTCCATTTCCATATCCTTCACCATGGAAGGCCGGTAGACGCAGTGCAGAGTATATAAGAAAACGATCGATAGATACTGTTAGCGACATGAATGAACCAGCAGAGTAAATTGTGAAGAGGGTCTTGTTTCGTAATCCTAGCTAGCTAGGTTGATTTGTAGAATTCCATTCGTATGGCGTACAGTTTGGGCTTGAGAGAATGCTAAACTGTTAATCAGTCCGTTTTACTAGTGACAGAGAAATCCATATGTCAACTGCGAACTGTTATCGCTTTCTTCTCCTTAGAATTACTACGATGTATGTGTAGGTACACACGCCTACACCACACTGGATGGCTAAACAAAGATACAGTAGATGCAGCTGAGGGTGACTACTGAAAGCCTATTGCTGAATGTTGTTCGGGGTAGCTGCTTTGCTTTTGGTCAGGTCTAGTGATTTGTGGCGCATCTCTCAACAGCAAGCACCAAGTCTGCTATCTTTTTTTTTTTTTTGAGAATACTATCTTGACGCCAAATAAACAGACAGTGGGTTAGCTAGTGGGTTAGGCAATGGGCCACGAGCCCTGAGTGCAGAACCTGAGACATAAGTTTCCCGAACCCATGGCACATTGCTAACGGGGTGCATCACTCTGTCCCATGGTTCCAGGAACTTTTGGGCCTACAAATATTTCTACATGGGCCGAAAGTTTATTTGTACAGGCCGGTCGACGACAGTTTCCACGCGTTGTGCCCATTCGGCCATTCCTAGCAAGTTCCTGAAGATATTTCAGAACCTTCTCAGTTCTCAATCAAAAAGAAAAAAAATTGAAGATATTTCAGAATGCCTGCTTGGAAGTGCAGTTCATTAAGCGAGTCTTTTTCATTGACTTTGGAGCCATAAAACTGATATTAAAGCCAGCTGATAAGCCGACTGAAGCTGTTTTGTTGTGGGAGAAAAATACTGTAGATCGGCCCAGAGGGAGAAGGCCCAGGAAGCCCAACCCGCGAGTGGTCGGCGAACAATGGGCTTGATCGGTGCGGCGCTTGCAGGCGCGATTGAGGCTGAGCCTCTGTAATGATATAGTGACCGGGAGTGAGAAGGAAAGAGGTTGTAAACTCTGAACCGTTCCTAAACTAAGAACTCGTCTGTCGCTGCCTCTGGTTTCTCCTTCTTCTTCCTCCTCCGGTTCTACTTCCGAGCTCTTCCCGTTCCCAGCTTCCGTCTCTCACAAGTGGTATCAGAGACACCGATTCTCGGCCACAGTCGGGTTCCGCGCCCTCCATCCATCGATTGCTCGCACTTCACTGGATTTGGTTGGTCTAACCCTAAATCGAGCCGTGAGCTGCGCCTCCCTTTTTAGGATTCCGTAATTCCAGTCCTGAAGTCGCAATTGGTGGTGTGTTCCGCCGATCTGGATCCTGCCCTCATCCCCACCTACGACCACTACACCCGTCTTCAACATCACCGTGGTGCCATGGGTCCCGACCAGAAGGCCCTGCTGGCCGAGCTCGACAAGCGCTTCGCCGCCCAGGACAAGCACTTCGATGGTCTGGAGCGGAAGCTCGATTCCATGGCGGCGAAGCTCGATTCCACGGCGGCGTCTTCTTCCACCCGTCTGGATGCCTTGGAGTCTGCAGCCAAGGTGTTCGACGAATGGCGCCCGGGCGTCGACGGCGTCATCGATGACCTTTGCCTCGAAGTCACCAAGCTCGCAACTCTCAAGCTCGAAGTGGGGAAGATCTCCAAGTACATGGAACGCTCCATGGTGGACGGGCCGTCCGCAACTCCCAGGGTGATAGCGACAGCACCCGCCACCAAGTCTGCTTCGGCTCCTGCGTCGCCCTGCGCCTCGCTCCGCGACGCCAAGCCCGTCGTCACTCCGCACTTCAGATCTGCCGGCTTCGGCGACATTCTGGCTGCCCGCACCCATGTGCGGGATATGCAGCCCCTCGGCCCAGCGGGCACCGCGTTGACATCATGAACCGGGAAGGTGCATTCGGAGTGGTTACCACTCTGATTCCACCTCCCGGCAAGGGTACGTTTCCTTGCCCTCCTTTTTCCCCGCATCCCTTACCTAGTCCTCCTCCCTGCCCCTCGCCACCTCGTCCACCTCAGCCACACCTAGGGGGTTCGTACGAGTCCAGCTTCTAGGGGGGGTTTGGGGGCGGCCATACCGGCAAGCTGCCTAAGTTTGATTTTCCAATGTTCGAGGGGGATCATCCCAAGCCGTGGATCAAGCAAGCCATTCAATATTTTGAACTCTATCATGTTGAGTCCGTGGTTTGGGTGCAAGCGGCCACTATGCACTTTCGTGGTGTAGCCAAACGTTGGCTCTCTTCTGTTGAGGATCAGCTTGCGACAATTACTTGGTCTGAATTTTGTTCTCAATTACTTTTGCGCTTTGCCAGGGATGAGCACGAGCTCTTGTTACGTCGCTTGTTCCAAATTCGGCAAACCGGCCCTGTCAATGACTACATCCATCAGTTCGTTGCTCTAGTAGATGATCTGAAAGCCTATACCAAACACCCAGACCCCCTTTACTATACCCAACGTTTTCTAGATGGCTTACGTGATGATATCAAAGCTGTTCTTCTTGTTCAACGTCCTTCTACTTTGGATACTGCTTGTGTTCTCGCTCAATTGCAGGAAGAAGCGCTGGGACTCAACAAGAGGCCGGTTCGGCGTTTGGACATTTCACCTACATATAAGCCGGCCTGGCCTAGCAGCCTGGCGCTGCCTCAACCGCCGCTGAAGCTTGCTGATGGTGACAGTAAGCGGCTGCCCCAAGCTCTGCCATCCTCGGCGGAGGACAAATTCAAAGCATTACGCGCCTCGCGCCTGCCCAGGGTCTGTGCTTCCGCTGTGGGCGCCAAGTGGAGCTGTGAACACAAGTGTTCTGACATGGTGCAGTTACATCTGGTGCAAGAATTGATGGACTTATTTCCAGAGTCTGATGCAGCTGAGTGCTATGAGGATTCACCCCCGGCAGATCAGATCATGATGCACCTCTCGGTGGCAGCGGCAGTGGGCTCAGCTTCACCCAAGACATTCAGCTTGTCTGGCCACATCCAAGGTCACCCTCTATCAATTTTGGTGGATTTCGGTTCATCTCATACCTTTTTGAACTCTGCCTTGGCTCAGTCGCTCAGCGGCATCCAGAATCTTCCATCTCCAGTTCCGGTGTAGGTTGCTAATGGGGCCATTTTACAATGCACATCCTTCTTGCCTAGTGCTCGTTGGTCAGTGTAGGGCTGTTCCTTTCTCACTGATCTTAAGCTGTTGCCCCTCTCATCTTATGATATGATTCTGGGTCTCGATTGGCTGGCCAGTTTTAGCCTGATGCAAGTTCACTGGGCTAAAAAATGGATATCCATTCCATACGAGGGAGCTACAGCTATATTGATTGGAGATTCTGCAGACCTTCTAGTGGGCTCTGTCATTCAGCTCTGTCTAGTACAACATGATGAGTCTTCCCAGTCATCTTCAGCATTGCATCCGATTGTGTCCGCATTGTTGGATGAATATGCTCATCTCTTTGAGCCAGTTTCAGGATTGCCTCCCAGCCGGCACTGTGACCACTCCATTCCTCTGATCTACAGGGCTCCTCCAGTCTTTGTGCGGCCTTACCGGTATGCCCCTGTTTTGAAAACAGAAATTGAGAGGCAAGTTAAGGACATGCTTCAGCAGGGCATTATTCAGAAGAGCACCAGTTCTTTTGCCTCTTTGGTTATTTTAGTTAAGAAATAGGATTAGTCCTGGAGGTTTTGCGTCGATTACCGCCAGCTCAATGCAATAACAGTCAAAGGCAAATATCATGTTCCTGTTATCGAGGAATTACTGGATGAGTTGTCCGGCGCAGCCTTTTTCACCACATTGGATTTACAGTCCGGCTTTCACCAAATCCGCATGAAATCGGGGGACGAATTCAAAACTGCCTTCCAAACACACTTTGGTCAGTTTGAATTTCGGGTTATGTCCTTCGGCCTCACCGGAGCCCCGGGGACCTTCCAAGATGCCATGAACACAACTCTTGCTCCTTGTCTCCGGCAGTTTGTCTTGGTCTTCTTTGACGATATCCTGGTCTACAGACGAACCTAGGAGGACCACCTCGTGCATGTACACACTGTGTTTGAGTTGCTGTCTAAGGATCAATGGAAGCTGAAAATGTCCAAATGCTCCTTCGCTCAGACCAAGCTTTCATACCTCGGTCATGTAATCAGTCCGGCCGGTGTGGGTACAGACCCATCTAAGATTGAGTCTATTTCCTCTTGGCCAACTCCCAGTTCTGTCAAAGAACTTCGTTCCTTCCTAGGGCTTGCTGGCTATTACCGCCGCTTTGTTCGCAGCTTTGGCATCGTTTCCAAACCCCTGACCACTCTCCTAAAGAAACACTCCTTGTTCATTTGGACTCCTGATCATGACTCTGCCTTCCAGACCTTAAAAACTGCCCTCTGTCAAGCTCCAGTGCTGGCTCTTCCCAATTTTGCTAAACCTTTCTCCATTGAAACATATGCATCAGAGTTGGGCGTCGGTGCTGTCCTCATGTAGGACGGTCACCCCCTGGCATTCCTCAGTAAAGCTTTGGGCTCCAAGTCCCGTGGCCTATCAACATATGAAAAAGAATTCATGGCCATCTTGCTGGTTGTACAACTGTGGCGCCCTTACTTGCAGTTCCAGGAGCTTGTGATTCTTACCGATAAGAAGAGCTTGACCCAGCTCACTGATCAGTGGCTGCACACTCACCGGCAACAACGGGTTTTCTCCAAACTGCTTGGCCTCCAATACCGCATTGTCTATCGCTCAGGCTCGGCCAACAAGGCAGCGGATGCACTGTCTCGCCACCTCTCTCCTCCAGCTGTGTGTGCGTCCGTCTCTTCTTTGGTACCCTCCTGGATTTAGGCAGTGCTGGCCAGTTATCGATAGGATTCTTTTGCTACCTCCTTGCTCACCAAGTTGTCGGTGGATTCAACGGCTGTACCTCACTATTCCCTGCAGTCGGGCTTACTCCGTTACAAGGGCCGTGTCTGGATTGGCGATGACCCGGCATTCCAACAGCAACT